GTTAGTAGGGCGAACGGCCATATTCTGAAATCCCAGTCTGTATAATCATTTACATATAATTTTACCCCGTTTGTACGGCCGCTCAAACCAGTTCTGTTCATCTTTTCATTGTTGTTATTGTATGTACCGATTAAAGTGACAATTTTTTTAAAATTATATCTGCATTCCGAATGCTTATTAAAGAAGAGTTGTTTAGAGGTACAATTGTGATATATCTGTAAAGACGTCCCTCAGCTTGGACCATTCGTGAAATTTGACCTTACTGTGTTAGGCCAAATTTTCATGGTTCGTTGGTGACTGTATGAACGAGGCTCCACTGTAGTTCTAGACGGGGTGAAAACGGATCATAAGGCCTAAATTTGTATCCTGAGATACAAAGCTAAAACTAGTCTACCAACATGACACATAGAGTGGGGTGAAAGAGTGCTAAAATTTATTTCCTACCTCGACCCCAACTGGAACTTCACGTCGTAGCAAAGCCCGTATTTCACTCAGGTGTTCTTTCAGTAGGGCCCTAATATGGTCGTCCTTTCTCTGCTTGGCTGACAGGGCCCTTATTCCAATGCTCTTCTTTTTACGTGACGTGGCTCCTGTTGAGAATTTCTGTTCCAGATTCCCAGGAACCGACAACTGAACAGGTTCTACTCTTGAGGGACGACCTAAAGTGCCAAGGAGGGAGGGGTCAGAATGAAAAAGTCAAAGAGATGGGGAAAAGGGGAAAGGGAGATGGGGAGAAGAAGAGAAGGGGGCAAGAGGGAGGGGGTAGAAGTACCCCTAGTCGCTTCATACTGTGAAATCCGGAGGTACGCGCCGGCCTAATGATTCACTAGCCTCGAACGCAGACTTGATCGGTCATAAATACACTCATATGGCTCAAACACCGAGTAATTTCCTGGGTGTTGGCTATCGGGCGATCTTTTGATGACGTTCAAAACTCGTCGGGAAGATCTCGGCTCTTCTTCGGTAATATGTTGCTTCAGATAAACACGAAAACAACACTTTATCGAAACAAATCGGAATTCAGTTATCTTACCCACTTTGCTATAAATGAATGAAGGTGCATTCCCACGTAAACAAAAAGCAAAACTAGGCGTTCAGATGCTTAATAGCAAAAATTACCTCTACTCTGATCAGTAATTCCAACTGCCGTCTGTGAGCTCTGCACAGGCAGCACCAGATCATTCTCGGCAGTTTCCAACGTTACCATGAGCTTCTCGTGGAGGGCCTGAGCACGAGCCCCTATCACGTGACACAGCCCGGCCTTGACTTGGCCGGAGACTGGGTTTACTGTCAAGTCCAGGGCCTTGTTATTAAAGGCGTACAAGAACCAAACAGCTCGGCTTGCCTGTGACTGTGTGTCCTCGGGATCTCCCACGGACACACAGTCGAGTTCTGGCTGGAACCATTGGACACACATCTCAAAGTCGCCTGCTTTGGTGGACTTGTCTACGAAATCCGTGGAAATAAAAACAAAAACAAAAATAAACACCAGTAAAATTCATGTCTCTTCATTTGGCAGGTCCCGAATCAGTGCCCTTACAGAGTTCCTCACAAACAAACTCGGAGATAAACCTTACTGCTCTTTTACAATACACGAACTCATATTTTGGCCTATGATTTACGTTGAAAGAAAAATTCATACGAAAGTTGTTGTGGCTTGTAGGGGACGGTAAAATACAGCACAAAATTTGCTGTCAATATAACGCATTAATGGATTATTGATAACAAATCCAGTTTTAATCTGTACTGAGCTCACACAACAAAGCATTACAAAACAGAAATAGTGTGAAACAGCCAAAAGGCTAAGAAAATAACAAAAAAATATATTTATATAACAGAGCCAGTTTTATGGTAGTTATGCTAGTATAGAATTATGTTTGTGTTTCAACGTCACAGCTTTGAGTTTCGACTAATAAAAATACCTTTCCAAAATATGCTACAGTAAGGTAAAGAATATTGACATTGAAAAACCAAAACAGAACAAGGAAATAGACAGGCTATTTTTTTAAAGATGAGACATCAGCGACTGGTCCCTATAAGTTTTTCTTTGTAAGCTGTTTAGCATGAAAAAAGAAAACAAATTTGGTGTATCAATGTGTCCTTTCTCCCTCTCCCACAGACAACACAATTGATATTGTTCTCACCAGTTCTCTTTGACAAATCTCCCGCTAGGTCCATTTGTGAAGGTTGGGTAACTTTAGTCTGGGGCAAACTTGAAGGTCCATAATTTGACAGGACCTCAGGAGGGTAAACACCGCAGCACTCCGCTGCATAAGGACCCAACTCGCTCTTTAGAAACGAATGCATCTTAGAGAGTTTCAGAGCTTTCTTGTCACTGAACAAAGGTAACACAGTAGCGGAGCCCTTGTTCGATATCTCCTCGTCTCCCAAATACACTCCGAGCGCCGCATAAGAACATTGGCGACGAAGTACCGAGAGATAACCAAGGAAATGAAGCCATGTTACTTGCACGCGGTTGGAATTGTTGATGGTGGTTCCCATGGTGACAATCCCATCCTGCGCAACTAGTGCTCCGTCCTCCGAGCTCTTAATGACGTCATCGGTACCCAGTAGATCAAACAGCGCAAGGCCTGGCACTGAGCTCGCGGCCTTCTCAGAGAGTTTCAACGCGGTAATTTCGGGATCTCCCGTGAAAATCCCGATTTTATACTGAGCCGAAGACACCACACCCGCGGCACGAATAGCAGCCCAAGCTGTTCTCAATTCCTTGTCGAGTTCCTTGTTCTTCTCTCTTGTCTCCTTATCCCTGCGTTCTTTATCCCTAGCACTTCCTTTCTTGCTCATCTTTCGGCCTTCTCTCACACCCGACGGAGTTGTTTCTGCTGCGCGAGGAGGTTGGTCAGGTGTTTTGGGAGGCTTGAGTGTATTGGCGTTATTAATAAGAACCAAAGCCATCTCCAGGTAGGCTTGCTTCATTAAACTGAGAGAGAACACACAGAAGATAAAATTACTAGGGAAAAGAAACGTTAAGCCTTAAGAGAACATTTAGAAAATTATTAGGAGAAACTCCCGCGCCGAGTAGAGGTTCTGTGTATAAAGATGGAAACGAAATATACTTACCCAAGGTCGTGATCAGAAATAAAGGTGCACTGTATAGCCTCTACCAATGTGTTGACTGCTTTACTCGGGGACACCTGACCACTCTGAATCATCTGTCTTTGAATCTGACCTGTTGACGACACCAGGGAAAAGCGTAACGTTTTTTCGCAACACAATTCCAAGATGTAAAAGCATTTTATGTGAGTCAAAGTAAACCTGAAAACAATAGCTTGATTTAGTAGAACAGAACTAAACAAATGACAGGAGCTATTAGCAAGTGAGGAGGATTAAAGGTGGCCGGGATGGAAAAGGATTGCAATATGGACAAAATTAAAAACGGAGGAAGAAATCATAGCTAGGTAACAGTAAACCCAAAAATAATAGTGAGATTTTCTATAACAGTAAATGACAAATGACAGGAACCCATTAGAAAGTGTGAGGACGACTAACCATAGCAAGGTTGGAAACGGATTACTGCAATATGGACAAACATAAAAAGCAAAACACCATTTGGAGTTTAATTTTCACTGTGGGGAGATACTCCATATATATGTAACCCACAAGAGAGCTGCCCGGCGCAAAATATTCAAATTCGCATATAATCCTACAAATTCCAAAGAATAAGTAGCACAAAAAGAGCATTTCATATGAGTCACATTTTGTACCTCGTGCTTGGTCTTTCTATACCAAAACGCAATAGAAAGGGTTCTTACTGAAACGGTCATTTTAGAAGCTCTGATAGTTTTGATTGACAGCTACAGACTTACCAAGAGAGAACAGCAGCTGCGCTTCGACAGGTTTCCGCTGACAAGCAGCCGTCCTAGCCAGCTCAAGCCCTAGTTCCAGTTCTTTGACTGCCGCCTGCCACTCGGTTGGAATGACGTTTGAGTCTCGTTCAGACAGTGTGATCTGTTTGGTTAGCGCTCGACCGAGACGAAGTTTGAGGTCAATTAGAGGTTGAAGTTGTTGAAAGTAAATGTTATGAAGTGGGCTGACAGGGGACATTTCCAGGAGATTTACATCGCTTCCCAGTTGAGTCAGCTAACGAGAGGAAAAGAAGGAACTTAACTTAACTATAAGAAGTAGCTTAAAGACCATACACATAAATAGTGTCCAAACGTTGATAAGAATATACTCGTTGTATAAAGTCTCAGTCGTAAAAAGTTCTTGGTGAGATAAAAACGCAACTTAAAATCAAAGGAAATAACCGTTTCCTAATGCAGAAAAAAAAAAAAAGAAAAGAAAAGAAAAAAAGAAAAAGAAAAAGGAAAAAGAAAAGAAAAATAAGAAGCAAAAACAAAATTATGACAAAAAAACCAAGATACGTCATCGATGTTATAGCTACAAATTATCTGTCCTGGAAATTAAGTCTGAAGGAGAATATACTCTGAACAAAAAGTTTTGCGTTAGAATTTCCACACTGCTGTGTTTGTCTACTGACACAATATGATGGAACAGTATGACATCATAAAATAACGGTGAAAAAATGGCGATGCAAGCTGGCGGTGCAAGATGGCGGCGCAAGATGGCGTCGCAAAGTAAGGTGGCAACGCATGGTAGGGACACAAGACAACGACGCAAAAGGTACAAATTGCAACAAGCTTTATTACCTGATCAAGTAAATGAGTCATCCCTCGTTTATAGGCGGAAAGCGAGTCGTTCAGATACGGCAACGTTGAGGATTCGTGAGACGGAGGTCTAATGTCAGCGTGCTGAATAATTGACAGAACTAATAACAGTCTTCCTGAGAATGACAGTGCTGGACTCTGTTCTAGACGTGAAATGATATTCTGCAGAAAGAAACAAAACAAAAGAAAAAACAACTTCAAAAAAACTTCAATTTAAAAAACTAAAATTCATAGCTACAATACTGAAAACCCCGAACGAGTGATTTGATTTTGCAGACCAGACTGTCCAGATGAAAAGAACCAACCCCAGGACGAAAAAATGTATAATGGCTGCTTCGATTCACGAGATTACATTTTGGACCAAAAGACGCAAAACAAAGGAGTTCTTCTCTGATATAAAATAATCTGGGTAAAAACAAATTGGTTCGCCCTGCGAAACCAAGTCGTGATTTAGAAGTCGACACTAACACGTGTGAGTGAGAGAAAAAGATTTGGGATTCCTGTTTTACCTCAAGTGTTTCCAGCAAGTCTGTACCCATTTTTCCTTGCTGTAAATTCTGTACCACACTCAAAAGAGAAAACTCCGCCATCAGCTCTACGTCTCCAAATGCTTCAGCCTCGTCTAGACCTGTTATGAAGCCCGACATGTTAAAAGACGTTTACGTTGGTTAAATGAATCAAAGTTGTAAAAGTTTACACGAAAGTTTTAGTTTGAGCCCATGAAACGTTGCTCGCTCCAATCCTCATTATGCTATATAGGTAAATATTTGCATTCGACAGTTTCATTATGCTCGGTCGCCAAAGAGGCAATCTCGTTCCCAGAGTCTTCGTTCTCCTTGACCAGCGGTGGGAAAACGAGAGCTCTGGGAGCAACCATTTCAGGCATGCGCCATAGATGCAGACTGCGCAGTGAAACCGCATGGGCAGAATCACCAGAATTCGGTTATTTCAAAATGGTTGCTCCCAGAGCTCTCGTTTTCCGACCGCTGATCAAGGGGAACGAAGACTCTGGGAACGAGATTGCCAAAGAGGTAGGTCGGCCTTGATTAGGTTGATACAGGTCCCATTAATGCGACAACCTGGCTACCATGAGGCTACTCATATTAAAGAAAAGGCATCAGTTTCTAAAAAGAACTTTTTTTGCGTCGGCGGGCAAGTGGAACTCTTAGCTATTTCTCAACTTGAAGTTGATAAAGGTAATTTAGCCTCAGTAGCGTGTTTTGTGAAGTTAAACTTTGAAGGGTTAGCCCGTCGCCGACTTCTTAAACTAGCTACGGCAGTTAATTTACCTTTATCAAATTCAAGTTAATGAGCTGCTCAGTACTTATATCGGATCTTGTTTGATCAAAGTTTCTGCGCAGTCAAGTACAGAAGTCACAATAAGCTAACTCCAAAATACCTTGCTGACAATGATGTAGACAAGATCCAATAGCGCTTGTTACACTTCTCGTTGAGCCGCCAAGCTTGCCCATTCCACCGTCCTCTTCCGCGAGTCCACGAGCCAAAGCCAGCCTGCACGTAAGCCATAGTCTAGCGTCCAGTCTAGATCGGGCTTGATTATGGAGATAGTGCTCCCCACCCCACCCGGACACGGTGCTGTGCGCAGAACGGACTTGGCTTGACATAAGAGAATGGGCACTAATTAATTTAAAGGAAAAAAAGATAATACAAACTTTACCTTAATTTTTCAAGTTCGCCTTTTTTGTAATCGCTCTCAAGCAGCCGTTGGCATTTTTAACCCTGACGGTGTTTTTCTAATCTTCGCAGCAGCTGTGTTAGGGTTTTCTTTAATTTGAAGGTCACACAAAACAAAACAAACTTACCGTTTCTCCAAGTCCAGTTCATTCAGAATGGCTGCGTCTTCCAATGCTCTCATGCATGCATACACGATGTTCCCACTGGTGAGTGCATGATGCCGCTGACTGGCTATTTCNACGATTTACAAATGGACAGGGATGTTGAATCTTCATGTTCCAAAAAAATGGTTTTCTGGAGAAAAATTTATATCTGAGAGTATAAGACCCCCTTAAAGACGTTCGCGCTAATTGTTTCTGCGCATCCTTACTGCGCACGCAAATTCACACTCACGTCGTGCATCGATGCCCGCGCTAAGTAGTAAAATGAACAATGATAGGACAGATTGCCATTGCCATTTATCGATCTTGGACGTTCGGTAACCCATATTTTTCTTTTGATGGATCATTTTCTCTACCGATTTTCTACGTTTAGCGAAAAAATGAAGAAAATCTATCGATTAGAAGTTTGAATTTTTTGCAAAATGCGCCATCGAATTCCGTTATTTTTAGCTCTTTTGTTTATCTGTGCGGCGGTTTCAAATGCCTCTTGAAGGGTTAAGATTTGTGAAAACGTTGGCAACATTTGGATTTATTTATGCAACAGACTCACTTCTAAAAAATATGACTAAGATCGTTTGCCTCCGTTGACTCACCTTCGATATTTTTAACTGTAAACCCCTGTAGACCATGCTGAATTACGTGCGGCAATTTTTCAAAATCAGGGTAGTTTTCCACACGCTCTATCTCTGAAACAAAGTCGGTGATCCCCAATTTTTTTTTTTTTTTTTGCATTTCTGACACAAGTAACTCATTATCTGACTGCAATAAAAATTTACAAAAATCTATCGACTGGAAAATTTTCGCGGGAACGTCCTTAAAACGCGATTTGTACTTAGTTTTAGGGGGTTTGAGCGGTTTACAGTAGGGATAGAAGAAAGATGATTATTTTCGGCACACCAACAGTCAGTTGACCCCCATGTAAGGGAACCCCAGGTTGGTAAAGTGAACCGTTTTGGTGTCCTTCTACCAATTTTCAACTTCAAATTTTAATTTCAACGCTACATGAAATCTTCAATATTTCTTTCTAAATTTTCCAAATCCTTTGGGGAAATTTTTTGCCTTCCAAACCTACCCAAAAAATGTACAAAACATCCTCTGAACAAACATTGATGACATAAGCAGAGAATTTTTGGATTGATTGAAACGTGAACGATATATGTCAACTAAAAATCGGGTTAGTCTTGTACAATAAAGGTTAAACGTCAGAGTTTTTCTCCTTAGAGCTAGGTGTTCAACAGGTTGTCCTTTGTCCAGATATTTCATGATACGCATCTCTTTCCAAGTTGCCGCCTCTGCTTTGTTTCTTTCTTACTGTTGTGATTTCTTTTGCCTTTTTTAATCACTTGGTTCTGTTTTTACTCTCACTTCTTCCACATGTTCTTCATTGTCTCGTTTTCTCTGCTTTCTGTTTTGCCTTTCTCTTTTTTTCTGCTCCAAATATCTCTCGCGGTTATTCTCTCTCCATCTCCTAACCTGTTGAACCTTATTTCCTTTCCCTTTTTTCAACCTCTCTTTTAAGTTTTCATTTTCCTCCTCTAGCTCTTCGATTTTTCCTTTTAATTCTTCTACCAATAGTTTTAAATTCTTGACTTCCATCTGCNAGCACGGTCTTGCTCTCCAGCAACTTTTTCCACACAAATCTTCTGATTCTTTTAAAAATTCGGACCGTCATAAAATCTCCTTCTTTAATGATGGGGGCCTCAAACTTGACCATTTTGACATTTTCCACATGCTTTTTCCATTTCTGGCATTCGTTAAGTTATAGCCCATAATTTTATGGAAAATAGGTCACGTGATGGCTTAGCTGCAAAGGGCCTATAAGTCAAAGCGATTAAATCATTCGTTAACAGAGGATTCTAAAAGTGTAATTTAACAAACAAAAAGTATTGCTGCGACTTTTCACTGTCATGCCATCAAAAATAAAGATTGTAAACATTCAGTCAAGTATCTGGGATATAATAGAGCTCAACTCCCATAGAATTGGTTTGGGACACCAATATGGCATGCCACTTAACTCATCATTTAACATTTTATTCAGTCAGACTAATAAACAAGTCACATGATAAACTTAAAGACATTAGGATCAACGTAATATGATTTTAACTAGGATTAGAAAATGAATATGCATTTTCAATTGATATTCATCATGTCTAAACAATACAAATCATGACGGTGCCATGATGGTGTTTGGATATCTGACCTTAATAGACTTTTTTAGCTTGGGCAGTTTGTTTTTTCATTATAGACCACATGATATTCTCTAGAGAATTGTTCTTTTATCCATTTAAAAATAATTCATTCATATACACGCAATTATTTGAAAATTTGAACGCAAGAATTCTCAAGAGTATCACATGGTCTGAAATGGGGCAACAAACCACCCAAGCTAAAGAGGTCTATTGTCAGTACTGGCATAAATTTTACGATTATATTTCTCCGTTTTCTACTTAGTTTTAGCTTCGATTAAGAAGATATATCAAGCACAAAAGACGGTGTTTCCTGGGATTTCCAACCACCTCACAGTTCCTCAAAAATGCTCCATTACGCTTCGTAATTTTATTTATTTTATGTGTCCCCTATTAGTAGAGGGTTTTTTTTTATCCTCGGCTAGAATGTATTTGACACATTAATAAAGTTATTGTTGTTGTTGTTGTTGTGTTTTGAACTCTCGATCTTCTCGGTGTTTGAAAAATGCTACGAAACACTGTACTGGTCTGTAATGTCGCTCGAGTCACAACTGGAGTCAGAAAACGATGGCGTGGATGAATGATAGTAATCAGAGTGTTTGTAAACTTACTAAGTGTCATTCACATACCTAACACAAATTGTCGAAAAGACCATTTACGTACCGTTAAAGCTGACTTGGACGCCATATTGGAATAGTAAGATTAGTAACCGCGCATACATCATAGCGAGGCTCAGCCTCGCTATGATGTATGGGCGGTCACTGCATGCAGAACGAGCGACAGCGCACAACATTTGACAAATTCTCTGATATTGAAAAAATAAACAATTTTACGATAACTGCAGAAATCCTCTTGCGCCCATAGGCTAATTTTCATTGTCAATAAGGGGACAGGCACATGAATTTATAATTTATACGATACGTCAACGAGCGAGAGCGGCCCGGGGAAGGGGGTACTTTAGGAATTTCTAGGTGGGGATGTGCCGCTGGGATCGGGACCCTGGGACCCTGGAACCCTTGACCTATACCAGAGCTAGTTCAGCTGAATTTTGATACCCTATACTAGGGTAATCAGAATTAAAACCACCGATTTCCGTCTGAATCCCGATTTTTGATAGTTGATAATATCCAATAGTGTTTTATGATAGTCATCTATCGACGCTGTTGAGGCTGAGTTGCAAAAATCTAAACTTGCCGATTTCATTTTTTTTATATTTTTGAGTGACAATTCCTGGTTTCCTTAGTCTAGATGAAATCTTCAACCAACTGGTCAGTTTCGTGAAAAATGATACCCTATTCTAGACCCAAACGCTCTGATTTATATACCCTATGCTAGAGTAAACTGCTTGAAAACCATACCCTTCACAGCGCCACATACCTATATAGCCCATTGTAAAAACAAATTGGCGTCAGTTTTTCATTTGTCTGTCCTGTTATCGACAATGAAGTTCGTCATAACATTTTCAAAGTAGTCCGCGCGGATCCACTCGTGGATCCACAGCTACTTTGACAATTTTTGACATTTTGGAACGGTCGATCCCATCTACCAGTGATAATGTCAGATGAAATTCATGATCAATAACAGGAGAGACGAAAGAAAAACTGACATCAGTTATAACAACATCTTCTCAATACAAATATGAAAGAAAATATAGAAGGGCAGCAGCCAGGATGAAATAGTGAAATATAAGAACGTTCTCTAAAAATATATTTAAGACACAAGCTTTTGACTGTCTTGACTACCGGTATTCAACGGGCGAAAACCGTTAAATGGTATAAAAGCAACTTCTGATAAAAGCGCTAAAAATTCAAAAATATAGTATGATAAAAATATGAATATAAACGTTTCTGAAAGCTGATAATTTAAGGAATTATGGGGTTTATTGAAGATCCTCCTGCGCCTGAACGAGTAGCGGGGTCCCCCTCTTTTATTTCAAAGCAGCCAACTGGTAAAGTTTGAAAGAAAATTTATTGTGAGTTCTATTTCGATGGAATTAACTAAAGTACCAGCTAAATCGCAATTGAAAAAAAAAAAAAAAAAAAAAANGTGCAAAATTGCCTTTAAATTGAAGGAAACCTGATAATAATAGTTTACTAAGATAGAAAAACACCAAAGAGATAATAAAAAGCCATAAAGAAACAAGGATGGTTAAGGATGGCGAAGATTTATCACGGAATATAAACCACGAACTTGAAAAATTTACGTTAAACTTTCCAAGATGCGTGAACCGTGATGCAGCTCTTTTGAGTTTGTTAGAAGGCATTTTAGACTTGTTGGAAGGTTTCTAAGAAGAGCGGAAGAACTTGGTCGATTATTGGTGAACTGGGTCTGTTGTATCAAAGAAAGCAATTGCTGTATTATATTAAGCGCGGTTGTACGCTCGTAGGGGGAGTGGGGTACTCCAAAAAAATTGGGCGGGGGCGTGCGTTCCGCTTTCCGAAACCCCTACCCTATTTATGACAAAAATTTGTGATTTTATCTACCTTATCTTGCGTTATTCTGTTTACGGGAAGGATTATTTTCAGTATTCATGGTAACTTCTACCAAAGCAGTATGTTGGCATGGTTACAACTTACTCTTGGTGACAGTCGGCTGGTATGGCGTAGATTGTAGCAGCAATGGCAATCATCAAGTGCGCATGCGCTATAGTAAGCTGTCCCGTCAGCTGCTGACCGTACAATACTGACAGGGAAGGCTGCAGTCGATGATCCAACAGATAGTTCAACACCTAAAATTAACATGAAAACATTCAGAAAATTAGCCGAATAAAAAAAAAAAAAAAAAAAAAAAGAAAAGACTGGGGAAAATGCAGGTCCGTTTGAAGCAACCATATCTGCTATCCAATTAACTACTCTGAATTTTTTTCTGTGTACTACTTGTCTCTCAGGTAGAGAGACACGCGTCAATGGAAGTGCACAAGAGCTTTTTTT